GCACGTGTGCGTGTGTGCCCAAGATCCCAAGAGGAGAGTGGAGGAGAAGGGATTGTGGCGTGTCCATCCCCCCTGGGGGGTGATTTCTTGCTTTCTGGTCTGTCTCTGTCTGTTGAGCGCACGCGCCCTAAAGCAAAAAAAAAAAAAAAGGAAAAAGAAAAGCAACATATAGGGACCAGCAGTTAGCGTAATGGCTGTCGCTGGACTCCCACGTAGTCGACCACAGTTCCCGTCCCGGACTCGGTGGTTTAAAACTCACGCTGGGCACGTGTGCGTGTGTGCCCAAGATCCCAAGAGGAGAGTGGAGGAGAAGGGATTGTGGCGTGTCCATCCCCCCTGGGGGGTGATTTCTTGCTTTCTGGTCTGTCTCTGTCTGTTGAGCGCACGCGCCCTAAAGCAAAAAAAAAAAAAAAGGAAAAAGAAAAGCAACATATAGGGACCAGCAGTTAGCGTAATGGCTGTCGCTGGACTCCCACGTAGTCGACCACAGTTCCCGTCCCGGACTCGGTGGTTTAAAACTCACGCTGGGCACGTGTGCGTGTGTGCCCAAGATCCCAAGAGGAGAGTGGAGGAGAAGGGATTGTGGCGTGTCCATCCCCCCTGGGGGGTGATTTCTTGCTTTCTGGTCTGTCTCTGTCTGTTGAGCGCACGCGCCCTAAAGCAAAAAAAAAAAAAAAAGGAAAAAGAAAAGCAACATATACAGGGAGTATATGCATACATATACCTAGATACACACACTACATACACACACATACACACACACACTTATTCATACACATACACACATTTAAATCAAATTTCCTTTCATTCTTGCTTTATCTTGAGTTCTGAGTAATGCATCTTTTTTCTAAAAGTTAACTGCCTACAGTTGACCATTCAGAAGCCCCAGGCTCTCAGAAGAGCTTCCTGAGTCTCAGAGAGACACTCTTATGTCAAATATTTATTGTAAAACTTCTTTCCTTTCATTCTTAGAATTGGAGAAATATTATTAAAACATAGGTATTTTTCTGTAATTTTCCAGGATGATATAAATATGTGGCTATATAAATTACTATAACCTAACCAGTAATTTGTACACTCATGCACATGTGTGTTTGTGTGCCCAGGTAACTTAGGAGTACTTTTATCATCCAAATAAAAATGATCAGGTTCCATTTCTCAGATCGTATTATTTTCCCCCTCATTCCTTTAAAAACACTATTTCTCAGTGTAATGGGCTGTGTAAAAAGTCATGACATACTTTTCTGTGTTTTTCTATACAAAATGCATCATGACTTTTCTGACAACCCAATAATGCCAAATAGAACTCAATGGTGGATTTATAAAGGGATCTTCAAAAAACTTAATGAAAATGCGTATTATGAAGAACTATGCATAGATTCTTAAAAGTTTTTTGCACCAAAGTAAATCTGTATATTAATTCTATTTCTCCGCAGTTTGATGTACAGTCATTTATGTTGTCTTCACTACTAGAATGACCTGAAAACAATATTTTCTGATCCGTTTCAGTCATGTGGATATATATCATTAACATCCGATAAGGTAATTGATGCCTTATTTATCCTAATTCTCAAAGTTGCCTTTATAGCTTTGTCATTTGGCTACCTTGACTCAATATATCACCATGCAGGAAGAGTAGGATGCTATGGAGCTGTATGGTTTCTTCGAGATCTAAAAGCCCACATTAATACAGATTTAACTGTTTTCTTTTTGGTCTATAATTCATGTCTGTTGGTTGTCTAGTTAGTTTACAAATTACTTGCTTCAATTTTATTCTCTTAGAAGGGAATTGTCCACCTCATTTTATCTGAAATTTGGGTTTCTTTCTCTATTTTTGAAGTAAGAGTTGTATCACACCTAGAGAGAGTTAGAAAATCCTACAAATCCTACAAAGAAACACAACTTCTGATTTTTATTTTCTTGACATCACAAATATTTATAATGGGGACTATCCATTTGTCCAACTTTGTTGCAAAGTCTAGGTAATCACTCATAGGAAAACTCATAGAGCATAGGAGAAGCTCAGTGAAGTTAGAAGGTGAGTGTAGTAGGGTCAGCAGGTGACCTGATGGTTGAGGCAACCACATAGCTGATCACTGTTCGAGTCCAAGACTTGGCAGCTTGCTTTCTCACTTTCTTTCTCTGGTCAAATTTGGAAAATAATAATAATAAATAAATAAAATTAATCATTCTTTTTTTAAAAAGGTGAATGTAGCCAGGATGCTCTTGAGGACAATTGATAGTTTTAACATAGCAGCAGTTATTATCTAACTTTAATTACAGGATCAAATTATTTGTCAAGCATGTGCTGTAACTTATTCTTGTATGCCATATCCCAATCCCTGTTTGCAATCCTATCAGACAACATTATGTATTTCAAAACAAAAAAAGTCTGTCACCTTTCTGAATTTATTGGATATAAGCAGGATAAGTGTACAAATTCATGAATGAAATCTTCATCACTTTAGGGTTTCTCCCTTCTTCTCCTTCTTCTCCTTCTTCTTCTTCTTCTTCCCTCCTCCCTCACAATTAAAGACAGCTGGGTAGAGAACAAAATTGTGCTTCAAACTATATTGTCAACATCTGCACAACAGCTAAGAGACGGTTACTGTTTCAGCATGTACAGTATGGTAGAGCTTCTCAAAAGACAAAACCTGTTTTTATTCCTAAACTTCTGTGATTACTTTTGCATATTGTCAACCAAGACAGATGATAATACACCTACTGGTCAAAAGGATGAATTACACAAGTGCCTGGAAGATGAGAGGGCAAGAGAACACATTTGAGGCAAATACTGACAGAATGCACATAATTAAGGGAATGTGCATTTTAATCTACTTTAAGTTCTTAGATTCTTGCAAATACATGAAATGGCTTCTGTTTAAATTAAAAGCTAGGGACAAAATCTGCTCCTCTTTGAGTTTATAAACTATACCTTCTTTTTAATCCAACATTCATTTATTAGGCACCTACTTTGAGCAAAGCATTATTACTTGGGTAGTAGAAGCTGAGTGCAAGGGAATACCAAAGGTACTTGGGTTACTAGTTCCTAATCATAGATTTTTGTCCCTTTTAAAATGCAGCTGTTGTGAAATACCTGAAGTGGACAGTTGAGGGGGAAAAAAGTTATTTTATAATAGTCATGGGAGTCATTATGAGTGCTTAAAGCAGCAAGAAAATTAGAAATATAAGTAGTTCTTAGAAGCAGAGCAAAACATGTAGTCAGCACCTCTAGCCCAGCACTCTATGAATTTGCTCTCAAAATATTTTTTTCTGACAAATTCTCATTTTCATACAAGATCTCCAATCTCATCAGTATATGAGACAATAGAATGTTAACTGACAAAATTTCCTCAGCAGTTTAAACTGATTTAAACATCAGTTTAGCTTATCTATTCTGGTCCCATGGTTTGTTATTTATTTATTTTTTTTAAGATGCATTTGTTTGAAGTCTTTCAGCAGCAAGGCAACACATCCAGAAACCAAAGCCTACTGAACTGAGGCCTCAGTATGTAATCACACACACACACACACACACACACACACACAAAGGAGGGAGAAGTTATTCTTTGTCATCCTCCTGTTCCAAAAATGTAAGTTTCTATTTGCTTCTGGAACTTTCCTTTCAGGTGTGAAACAATCAATTGCCCCATACATTTCCCTTAGAAAATATCTGAAAAACGAACACAAAATATACTGTAAAGTCCATTGTAAGCAGTTTTGTTCCTTGTTTCTAGGTATACTACAGCACCTAGACAGGAAAACTCACCATGTTTTAATAGGTGCCATACAATCTCTTTCCTCCTTTTCCAGACACTTGCTAAATTTAGTAGCAGGAATATCTGCCAACCAAATAGCTTCTATAGCATTGGTAGAGGTAGGAAGTGAACAAGGTAAAATAATGCCAGATGGACTATAGGCAAAAGCCCATTTAGGCTATAGATGGAGAAGTTTGGGTAAATAAGAAAGCATCCCTAGAAATGATTACACGTTAGGAGAAAAAAAGGATTAAACAGTATTTAAACATTAAGGACCAGATTTGCATAAGCAAAAGACAAACTGTGTATGTAATCAGGGACAATCTGAGATCTCTGATAAACCTCACTGGGGGGAAAATAAAAAACAATACTTGGATGAATTCTAGTAAGCATTTATATCTAGTCATTTGTACAGCTGTATTAACAGTCTGTTTCCCAACCATTTTATCAGTAATCACCCAAAGACCTATTGATTAATCCAGGGAGTCAGCACACAGAAAATTACCAATCATTTCAAAATTAAATCTTGCAGTGGGTTTATTTGATGCCTTCTCATGGACTCTCTGTATGCATATGGAGAAGCCATGGGATCTGAGCGCAATTTACAAATATCTAGGAAAAAAGAAACTACTCTAAAACATTAATTAAAGAAGCAATAAATTCATCTGTTGTACTATATACACCAATACGTAGACAGGTCTCAGAAAAACACACAGTAGGTCTACTAAAATATTTGTAAAAGTACACGAGTGAATCAACTCAGTGTCAACTTTCTCTACTAGCTTAGGTTTAATTTCGTTTTTTTTTTTTTAACCACAAAAACTTACTGTGTGAATGTCAAAAGCCAAAGTTACCTTTTTAATAGTCTCCTAAAACCTATCCACATGCCCTTCAGACCCCAGTAGGAAAATGAAACAATCCAAACGTGTTGGTCCAGGGCGGGAAGAGACGCGGTTCTGCAAGGAAGCTGTCACTCCGCTTAGGATACCGCAAGAAACTGGGGGAATTAGTCCTTAAAAGCATTTGCTGATGATACGCCATGCAAGAAGGTCCTTTATTACAAGAAGAACAAGGATAAGAAGAAAGTCGACAAAGAGAAGGAAGAAGAGGATCGCAATAAAGTTTCGGTGTTACTTTTCCGTCTTTTTGCCATTCTGTAAGATAAAGTTTAAGAGACACTGAACTCCGTCGGCTTCCTAGATGAGCGGTCACTCACAAATCCCAACTCCTCTCCAGCCTTACCTTGTGCAGCTAGCGCAAACCCAGAGGCTAAGGGGCCCTGCTCTCAGCGGCAGCGGTAGGGGCAGCGACAGCGGCACATGCCATCTGTTAGCTGCAGAAGCAAAAGCAGCGCTGCGCGAAGTGGCCCCGGTGCCGGGAGAGCCTTTAGCAGGGGTGTATACTGAATGCCGCCATTTTAAAGCGAGGTTCCTGAAATCATTAGATATAAGCAAATTAAAGCCCGCCCCACCTACATAACTTCGGGGCTGGGACGTGGAAACCGGGCTCCAAGTCTGCCGCTGTGGGGTATAAAATGTCAAGTCTGGAGACACGCACCGGCGGACTCGCGGATGGAAGCGACAATCCCACCGCTCCCCTCTCCCGCCCGTCCCCCGTGCTTTTGCCAATCTGCTCTGGGCCCGGAGGAGAGAGTATGTTCTTTTCCGAACTGCACCGGGGCCAGTTCCCGGGGCCGGCGGGCGCGCTGGGAGAGGGGACTGGGGACCCGCGCCAGCGCTCCCCCCGGCTCCCAGC